ATATATATATTCGACTTAATTGATTGCACTGTTATTGGAAATAAATTTGTTTATTCAAAGTTACCATTTTGTTTGAATCAGGGCAACTGGTTCCCTAAATTAAAACACTTTGATCCCTTCATCAGAACAGGTTATTTTTTTTAAAAGAAAAAATCTAGAAAAATCAACAAAAATTGGTTAAAAATGATTTTCATCTTTACAGTGAAAATTTAAATAGTTAATGCAAAACTTATTATAGGATTAGTATTATCCTGATAAATTTAAAGTCTACAAACAAAAAATTGTATAAATTTTCAACTGTTATGACGTCCAAAAAAATATAAGAATACATCACATATACTCCACATTCAGTACCGTAAAATGTAAAAATTTCTCAAATATTCTTTTTAAAGTAACGAATAGAAATCAAACAAACAAACAGTAATTCTTAGGCCTAAAAGCAATATATATTATATGTTTTAAACTATTAAATTTGAAAAAAAAAGTCAGTAATTGTTGATTGTCTTTTATGAGCTAGTAAATTCATGTCAAAGACACGATTTATATCTTTAGGAGCCTTTCTCAAATTATTTCCAAATTAGTTTGCTTTTTCTTAAATTTGTCAAGCCCTACTTCCGAAGCTTAAAAATTTTTGAAGCATAACTCTATCGCAAAATATAAAGCTTTTTATTTTACCAGCAAGCCACGATTTGGTACATTATTAGCTCTCGTTCGTTTGAACCATTTAAGTACAGCTTTATTTACTAATACGAACTAACTTTAACCCGTTTAGTCAAATTTCCTTGATAAAAGCGTTAAAGATTTTATCTTTATTCTTTTTCGAAGAGTGTTTGGTAGGATATCGAAAGTTTTTGATACCTCTTTATTTGTTTTTCCTATCTTCAATTCCATTAGAGTTTTTTTTCGCTTTAAATTGTTTTCTTAATGTTTCTTTGATATTTTTAAACAGAAGAAGATATTTACAATAATCTTTTTTCAAAAACTCACACATTTCGAAATTTGAAAAAAGATTTCGACGGTTTAATGAGCTTTTTACTCGTCAAAAGTTCAAAAATATGAGAGCGTAACTGAAAATAATTAAAAATTACCTGAGGATATCCATGACACAAGAATCGTGCTTTAATTATTGCAATAGAAAGAGACATTGCTGATCCGTTAAATATTCAAGAAGCGGTTGAACAATTTGCTTTTATAAAACCGCGTCGGGTTGATTTTTAATTTCATTTTAATATGTAAATGTTAATGTTTCGCGTAATTTTGTAAGTATTAATCAAAAATTAAATTTTGATTTTTTTTTTCTCTTTGATATTTTTTACGTCGAATGGTGGCCGTACATACTAGCACGCAGTGTAGTATGTATGACCGCCCTATATATATTATTTAAATGATGAATAACACCATTTTAATAGTACTTAAAGTGTCGTGCCTTTCGGCAATCATCAGCTATTAATTACACACTAAAAACGTAAATCAACGTTTAAAAAAACGAATTAAAATTTTACGGTAGAACGAGGTCTGACGTAATTTAAAAAGATGCAATCATTTAATCTCCAGTATCAAACAAAGATATCAGGAATTTATTTAAATGTCGACATTTAGATTATATTTCGTCTTTTTTATTAAGCAAGTTGTTTCCATTAAAAGATAAAATTTCTGATTTCTCATGAAGGCAAAGTTCGCAGGTTTTTGTTTCTGGTTTGAAAGCTTCACAACGTTTTATAACTTTCCACTTTATAATAGGTATTGTATCTTTTTCTTTTAAACTCTAAACTTCTTTTGAAAGTTCAGTATCATTTTTATATTTGATGGCATTAAAAGATTTTAAATGGTTTTGTATCTGAGCTTGAATGGTGTCTCACTGAAACCAAAATATACTTTTTCCTTAGAATCTGGATCATCAGAACTCACAGTGGCTTGGTAAACAATATTACTTACTAAGCATTGGTTGCTTAATGGAAAAGCGGTTTTAGTAATGTAGTTGCATGTTTTTGCTGTTATATTTCTTTGACTTTGTAAAACCTTGTGGTTTTGTGAACTAATGATGGATTTTATATTTTGCATGCAGCTATAACTAACCTTGATCGAATATATATATATATATATATATATATATATATATATATATATATATATATATATTTACATATATATATATATATATATATATATATATATATATATATATATATATATATATATATATATATATGTATATATATATATATATATATATATATATATATATATATAAATATATATATATATATATATATATATATATATATATATATATATATATATATATATATATATATTCGTTATATAATATTATTTGTTTTACCATATAATTATAAATTTAAGAAAAATTATACTATAACATCAACAAACTGTTTATTAAGTTTTTGTTCAAAAAAGCTTAAATCTCAAATACCTTTTGAACAGTTTGAAAGAATCAACATTTTTATTACTTTTTCTTTAATTTTTAGTTACTCTTTTTTAGATATCTTTTAAAGATGAACTTGCAAATTTATGCTGTAATAAAATCTTTGTTAAACGTTCACTTGGAATTTGAGTATTTTTTTCCACCATTTATTACTTTCACAGCTGAAAGTGTTATTCAAAGCTTTGTAAGGACTAACGCTAATCGAATGAAATACTATGTAAGAATTTGATTCTTCTGTATTATAGCTATTTATGGTTCACTTTATTTAAAATCCTAACCGAGGCCTTAATTATGTAAAACCTTTGGTCTAGCCCAGGCCTTATCTAAACTTTTATACTTTTTATAACAGTTCTGCAGTATTATTTTCATAATATAACATAAAAGTATTTTCATAATGTATCTCTATATATTATTGCCAAACTTAACAGTTTTAATAAATGATATATTATATAACTACACCTTTTCAAGATGTAATTGAGAAAACAAAAATTGTAATTAAGAATCGTAAGATGTAACTGAGAAAACAAAAGTTGTAATTAAGAAACGTAAGATGCAATTGAGAAAACGTAAGTTGTAATTAAGAAACATAAGATGTAATTTAGAAAACGAAAATTGTAATTAAGAATCGTAATATGTAATTGAGAAAATGTAAGTTGTAATTAAGAAATAGAAAGATGTAATTGAGAACACGAAAATTTTAATTTAGATATCGCTTTAAAGGAGTAAGTGTAAAATGGCGCTTAAAAAAAATGGCGCGTAAAAAAATGGAGCGTATAAAATGACGCACTTAAAAATGACGCAAGATTTTTAGCGTAAATTTAATTTTTTAGGGAAAAATTTAGGGAAAAATTTATAATTTTTGGGCAAATGAATTTAACATAATAAACACTAAAAACATTTTAGGGAAAAATTTATAATTCAATTAAAAATTATAATTTAAAATTATATAATTTAAAATCACTTCATTGATCATTTAAGCACCAACTTGTACGTCTTCCATATTTAAAATAGTTGCATAGTGCGTGGTTGTGTGTTGTACCGCACGTGCACAATCTCCTCCCATTATAGTATTTTTCGCCTCAATTACAATTCGTTCTAAGTACTGCATGCGCTGTTCCGCAACCCCGTCACCTAATACAGGTGAAATGCGAATTGCATTTTTAACGTTACTTTTAATTTTGGACCAGATCGTTTCCACCGCGTTCAACATTGGACTGTAAGGTCCCAAACGTAACAACTGAGCTGGTGAATTATCAAACACTCTTTGCAAACAAGCGTGACAAGGAGCATTATCCGTTACGACGACCAAATCCTCCAAACGATTCCCGGATGTAACCCACTGGTGAAACATAGCCAACATCCACTCGTTACAGGAATCTGCTTTAAATGATCCCCTGCGAGTCTCTATCATGACGAAATTTGTAGTTGAAATAGCTGCGATCAAGTGTATGTTTAAACCTTTTGAAGCAGGTACTTTCATAATTGCTCTTTTTCCTTGTCTCGCGCGTCCTTGCGTTGTTCTACAAAAAAGGTTAAAATTTGTTTCATCCAACTAAACTATCTGACGACCATTTGTGATATGTTTGTTGATGTTTCTAACATATTCAGCTCTTTTTTGTTTGTTTTTATAACTGTTCATTGTAGAAGGCTCCTTGTGCACTTTTTTTAATGAGAACAATCTGCCTTCGAGGTAATTTGCTATTGTTGTTGTGCTAACGTTTATGTTAAATTGTCTTAATATCTTTGTTTTGATGGCCACCAATGTTAATTGACAATCATTTTCAATCCATGTTAATGTTTCTTCGATTTGATCTTCGGTTAACTTTTTCGGTTTAAAACCTTCTTTTCCGATGAAATTTGAATTTCCGCTGCGAACCCAATTGTATGCTGTCTTATATTTGATACCTAGCGTTTGCGCGAGATTCACCCAATCTTCAAATCGCTCCGCACATTCAACAACTCTTCTCCTGTCATTTGGAGAAGATAAAACGTAACGTTTCCTTTCAACTTGATCAGTTGTGTGTATTTCATGCCGACAAATCGGACAACTTGAATCTGGTTGTTCCAGAACTGGACGTAAACAAATTTGGTGACATAAATGTTGACACGGATTTAGCTTAATCACAGACTTTTGGGTCATAGTGTATTGGCATATAACACAACGATCTTTCAATTCCATTATTATTACTTGTGCATACAAAAGCAAAATTTAAGATTATAACTTAAATTCATGTCCAAAAGACCTTTTGTAACAACCTACAAACTTAGACTGTGAATTTGCTATTTTAATTTATGTGTTCTCAATTACAAGTTACGATTTCTCAATTACATATTATGATTTCTCAATTATATCTTACGTTTTCTCAATTACATGTTGTGTTTCTTAATTACATGTTACGACTTCTTATTTACATGTTGTGTTTCTCAATTACATATAACGTTTTCTCAATTACATGTTGTGTTTCTTAATTACATATTACGACTTCTTAATTACAACTTTCATGTTCTCATTTACATCTTGAAAAGGTGTAGATGTCTAATTTTCGGAAATTAATAGGACAAAAGTGATGCCGCTTTTTTTTGTTTATAACAATAACCCACTATTTCTAAAAAGGGCAAAAGCTAAAGCCGAAGAGTTGAATTAAAGTTTAAAATCCAAGTCAAAAGTTTACAATAAATTTAATATAATTCAAAAACAAATTTTAATAATTATAAAATACTTATAAAAGTTTTTTTATGCGCCAATGTTTATTAAAAAGTATTTTAATTCATAAAAATGCTTCAAAAGTGTTTGTCATTTAACTTTTCTATTCAAAACATTAATCCCCTTTTTAATCGAAAATAAATTAAGGAATCATAAATTATTATTTTACAAGTATTATAATTTCCGCTTAAAACTTTTAAGTAAATAGTATTTAAATTTAAAATATATTTACTTCATTTAAGAAAAGAAAAGTTAAAAATATTTGTTTACAAATTTAATCCGCCATTTGTAAAAAGGGAAAAAAGCGATTTTATTTTTTGGATTGAAGTTAGACATCTAGTTTAATAATATATATTGGTTTTAATACTAGTAGAGTCCCTTGGAGCGTGTTTAACACGAAACCCTTGGCAGCCATTGCAACCGACGTTTTGGCTAGAAAGAGTCGCAGCTTTGCTTAATAAACAAATGTGAGCGAACGTGAAATTTAAATTCTACGTATGTAAACTTCATATAATGTCATTTAAAACATACTTAAACATATTATCAAGTTTTACAGTTTGACTTTCACTTAAAAACTGCATTGCGTCAACCTCTTCTTAATTTTTAATCTACACCACTTATTTCCGTTAAGAACAAATTATATATAGTTTTAAAATTTTGATGACTAATGTATCAGCTTGTCCGAGTGGTTAGCGTGTTAAGCTTCTGAACAAGAAGGTCATGGTTCGAGTCCAACCACCGGCAACGTTTTTTAAATTTTCTAAATATTTGTGAAGTTTTATAAAGATTAAATACAAAAAATTATATCTAACTATGTTATTCACTTTAACAAACGAAAAGATTTTTAAAAAAGCTAAAAATTTTAAAAATATTAAAAAACGGGATTAATCATGGTTGAATTTTCCGCTCATGTAAATTTAATTTTTTCGAATAATATTTATTCACAACACAAAAAGTGAGTTAGTAAAGTTATATTGGACATAATAAATAATTATTTTAATATTGAAATATCATTTCAATAGAAGTTTTTGTTGTTTTATTACATTTATATTTACATACTCATTGCTATAATTGTTGTAACTGCTATAACTCTAACTTATAATTGTTATAACTAATTGTTGTAAATATTTTTTTTTAGTTCAACGGAAGTATCAATTCTTTTAAACCATTCAGTTATAGTTTTAATGCTACTATCGTTTGTTCTAAGTGTCCTTTGCCTGGTCTATTTATATTAGACATCCCTTTAAAAGTTTCAACTCAAGTGGAGGCTGGTAGTCGTATAACATTATTTAAAACCTTTAGAAATGCTGTTGAGTGCTTCAGCAGTCTAAAAATTCCTATTGTTGCAGATGTTCTAAACGGTGATTATTTTAATGATTTAAGCAAATTCTTTAACATTTTAAATACATATATATATATATATATATATATATATATATATATATATATATATATATATATATATATATATATATATATATATATATATATATATATATATATATATATATATATTACAACAATGCAAAAACTCTCACAAAAAAGAGTATTTTATGCTTACTTTGTAAGTATAGCATTTCACGATGCTATTTTGAAAAATGAAAACTATAAACAGAAAATTCCGACCGGAATTTAGGCCAGAACAAAAATCATATTTATGTAATTTTTTACATTTAAGATTGAAAGTGAAAGCCTGCACCTCAGCATTGTGACTATTTAATATATATAACCTTTTTCATTAGTTTGATTAAGTTGTTTTTATTTATTTTTTTATTGAAAGTTTTAACCGGCATAATATTTATATTTAAAGTTATTTCTTTGTTTTCTATATTTCCATTTTGGTTAAAATTAAAATATTGACTGTATTAGGCATCCTATACTTTTTAATTATTTAAAGTTTAAGTAACATTTAAAATGAAATTATTCTGATATGCAGGTAACATTTTTGATGAAAAAAGAGCTTGTTTGTTGCCCAAAACGGGATAGCAACTCTTTTTGCACCACAATATTCTTAAACTTCTAGAAATCCTTACATAATTGATTACGCTAAATAAAGTTTTATTATATTTGTTAAGAAGTTTGTACTTTTACCTAGGTTTAACGAGAGTTATTCATCGCCCTGTAGGGTAATGGTTTTTTGGTTTAACTTACACAGTCTGTGTCAAATGTTATTATAAAAAAAGGATAAAATAGAAAATATGAAAACTATAAATTTTGGCCGAAATTCCGGTGTCAACGGAATTCCGGTACCTTCTTAGTATATAAATATTTTATTGCTTTAAAAAAATGTATTGTATAGAAGAAATAAAAATTACAAAATAATTGTTAAGTTTTATTTAGAAAGTTACGGTCGTGGAATTTATTGGAATGCTGAAAATTCTTGTATATATGTATGCATGAACCAGCATGTGCCAAGGTATGTGAACATATAAATGTATACAAATACATATATTTCTTATACATACAAATATATTTAAAATTCTTTACAGTACATAGAATATAAATAAAAAATTAATGGAACAAATGCAAATAGTTCATTTCCAGCCAAACAATTTTAATCCAGACTTTTTATATAATTTATCAAATATTTTGAAGTTAGATAAACTCATCTACTTATTAAACTATGTTTTTGTGTGGGATATCATTCATAGTACCATGCCTATTGCTTTCAACAACTATTTTAAATTTAGAAGTGATATTCATAATTGCCAATATCAAAAAATTTGTTCTTAATAAAAACACTCAATAAAATTTTAACACAACATTATCACTATCTTCAATTAATTGTCTATTTTTCTAAAATATGACAGCTTTTAGTTTTCCCTTATTTAAACCTATTCAGTTATCTCTTCTTCTACTCCTTACCTCTCTGTTCCATGTATATATATATGTGTGTATATATATATGTGTGTGTATATATATGTGTGTGAGTATATATATATATATATATATATATATTATATATATATATATTTATATATATATATATATATATATATATATATATATATATATATATATATATATATATATATATATATATATATATATATATATATATATATATATATATATATATATATACAAATATGTATGTAAGTGTGTATGTATGTATATGTGTATGTATATATATATGTGTATAGGTTTGTAAATATATGTGTATGTATGTTTGTTTATGTATATATATATATATATATATATATATATATATATATATATATATATATATATATATACTCACACACATATATATACACACACATATATATATATGTGTATATATATATATGTGTGTGTATATATATATGTGTATAGGTTTGTAAATATATGTGTATGTATGTTTGTTTATGTATATATATATATATATATATATATATATATATATATATATATATATATATATATATATATATGTATATATATATATATATATATATATATATATATATATATATATATATATAATGTATATGTGTGTGTCTGTGTGTGTGTTTGAGGGTGAGTGAATCTATAAATGTAGGTATAGCTTATATGGTATTATTTACAGCACTCCTCAAACGACACCTTTTATGCCCTTATATATATATATGTATACATATATATATATATATATATATATATATATATATATATATATATATATATATATATACATATATATATATATATATATACATATATAAATATATATATATATATATACATATATATATATATATATATATATATATATATATATATATATATATATATATATATATATATATATATACATATATATATATATATATATATATGTATATATATATATATATATATATATATATATATATATTATATATATATATATATATATATATATATATATGTATATATATATATATATATATATATATATATATATATATATGTATATATATATATATATATATATATATATATATATATATATATATATATATATATATATATATATATATGTAGTTTAATAATAAGAATTTATGTCAAACAAAAATTATATTACTTGACATAATAACTAAAATTATACCGCTGCCAACTGATCAAACACAATAATTAATTAATCTTTTTCTAACTTTCACTTTGTTATAATATGTTATTGTTATTATTATATGATTTAGTATTAATATTCATTTTTGAATATTAACACTAAATCATATAATAAAGTGAAAAGCGTTTCAACTGATTAGTATTATGGCTATTAAATAGTTAAATCTATACGCAGTAGTGATGTTCCTCAGCAACTCGAACTTCTTGAAATTGGCCTGGTTAAAATAGTCAGATGGCTAACAACAGTCAATATAATCTGTGGAATCTGTAGAATCTCATCATGGTCTTCAAGTTAATTCAGCCCAAAATCATCTGAAACTTGTAAAGTATATTGTACGAGTGTATTTTACACATATTACCTCAAATTATTGGAAATGCAAATGAAGACCAAATCTAGAAGTATCATTTTATATAAATGATAGAGCGGGGCATATAGGGACACTTAAGAAACAAATGTTAAAAAACAAATGTTAGTTGATATTTTACCATATTTCCTCATATTATTGGAAATGCAAATGAAGACCAAATCTAGAAGTATCATTTTATATAAATGGTAGAGCGGGGCATATAGGGAAACTTCAGAAACAAATGCAAGTTGCAGGTAAACTAATCATAGTTAAGACTGTTTTTTATAAATTTCTTAATACTCATTGATGTAAAAAAACAATAAAACAAAAACAAAAAAATTCTTAAAATAAGCTACGACAACCAACTATAGACTCGGAGAATATTTTGCAAACATTTTGCAAATGGGTGGGGCAAAATGGGACAGTTAAAAAGCAGCAGTTATTCGTTAATTGTAATTCTTTAAAAATGAAAAAAAATGAAGGGTCGTTTAAAAAATGAATCTATCGTTTAAACATGTTCATACATTAAACTATCAAAAAAGTAACATACCCATAAAAACTCACTCCCATAGACCGTAAAAAAGAAATAACAATTGAAATAATTTTTTTTTGTGTGTTTTATTACAAAATACCTCTGCTTAACCTATATAATATTAAATTGGTAACTGCTACTAAATTTAAAATTAAACAAAAAATATTTTGGATCACATAAATCACATCTAAAATATCCTTAAACTATTTGGCAACCTTTTTGATGAGCTGGATAATTAGCAATATGCCAATGTAGAGCAAATTTAAATATGCGATAGATATCGGCAGCTTTTGTAGTTCTAAATTCCTTTTTACTTACAGCTAAATATCTCTAATATCGCTAAATATCACAGCTAAATATCTAAAAACTCACTGCATTTCATCCAAATTTGGATGATTGATCTTTCTTATATAATTTCTTAGCTTCTTTGTTTACATTAAACACTATTAATAATCAAAGTTAAGTTATAAAAATAAGACTTTCTTTAAATTTATTTCTAAAATTTCTTTTTTAAATAAGAAAAATAGTATTTTATATTAAAATAAATCATCCAACTTTAAACAGCATCAAAAATGGTAGTAGTATATTCAATTATATAAACAACTTGTTGTCCCGATATGCCCCATAAAAGTCATTTTAATGAAATTATTACTAATCAAAAATTTCAATTCCAGATATTTTTTTAAAACCAGATTCTAAAAGAGGATATAAAATACTGTCTGAAAAATATAAACTTTTTATAAATAAAACAAATTAACAGTAGTTCTATAAAGTATAAAGTACCTATAAAGTAAGGTTTTTAAAAATAAGCAATGAAATAGAACTTATATTAAACATTAAAATTCCTCTTTTTGAATATTGGAATCAACTTAACTATTTTTAGTTGATCATAAATAATTTCTTGTTGATCAGAAAAGTAAAATATATTATAAGTATATCCTTTATAACTTTATATTTTTTAACATAAATGTTTGCGTAGGTTACCTTTTAAAAGTTTGGATGTGATTTAAAATGCTTAAACCCAGGTAATTGGGTTAAAAATCATGACCACACATTCTGCTTAAACCGGATTAGTTGGGTTTAAGCATTTTAAAATACATGGCTACACATTCCATAAGTACAAGCTTTTATTTTAAATCTTGTACCACCCTACGAAAACATTTTTAAAACACTAGAGGCATTTTTCTGGCATTGGAATCTGTGTATTTTCCGTGGTCAATGCTCTGTCTATTTACAATCCAAGATATGTCGTTTTGGGTCACATAGGCTTTACTAAAAAAAGCACGACACGTCTTATTACGGACGTAAGAAAAAAAAAGTGTTAAGAATAAAATTGCCTTATTTTTGTCTGATTATATAAAAATTAACACGGAATTTCAATTATTAGTTACTAATGAAATAAATAAACTTATTTAAAGAAAAAAAAGGGTCGAGAATAAAACAGTGTAGAAACTGGTTATGGGCATTTATAATGTATTGCATATACATACGGATATATACACATATATGTCATAAAACACATAAAGTTAAATTAGTTTAAAATATAAATACAATATAACAAAACATTTCAAGAAACTATGTAATAATAACAACTTTGAGTAGATTTTTTTTTGCAAGAAAATAAACTTCATTTTTGCTTATGTTTGAAAACTTATAAGGTATACGTTGCAAATTTTGGTTATTCTACAAATGTTAACAATTTATTTAGTGCAAAAGTAGCGTGTTTTTTTTCACGTGACGAAGGCAGATTTTGGTCAGGTAAGGCTCTTTAATTTTATTAAGTACTTTATTTTAATTTATTTTAATTACTTTTCAACTGGCAAAAAATAAATTTAAATTATCAAGTATTATTGAGTTCACACACGTTTGCAAGAACACATTGAGTTCACACACGTTTGTAAAACTTATGTAAATCTTACTTATGTGAAATTGAACAAATATTTACAACATAAGTTTTATATTACTTATGCAGTATTACTGAAAACAACTTACTTATAATTTGTATCATGTATCTACTCTACTATCGCTAGTCGTTAGTCTACTCAACATTAATCAACCGCTATCAATAACGCTACCGACGACGCTATTGACTACGCTAATCTGCTTAATATCGAAAAACAAACATATCTAAGTAACATTTTCAGTCAAGAATTAGGGTTGGGTCTGACAACAAGATTCTTACAAACTTTATTGAATAAACCAAATACTTTTACAACTTCCAGTTTTTTAAAGCTATTGTTGACTTATAAAAGAAAGTATTGGTTAAATACTTTGATCTAAAAACTGAATAGCGCATCTCTAATATCAATAAAAACTGAATAGCGCATCTCTAATATCAAAAATGAAGCTAATTTTGTCATATTGGAACGTCCCAAAACACTAAACGGAATTTGAAAACTCAGAGATAGCGCTTAAAGATTTGTTTATTTTGTGCCTTTGACTTCTTAAATATTTATTCAACCAACCCAGCTAGCACACTTACATTGGGCCAACGTATGTAAAACCAACGCGAACGTCGGCCCTTTTTTCCAACGTTGATCCAATGTCATTTGGTTTATGATAAAATTATTACCAACGAAACTAAAAATATCTGACCAATTTACATTGGCCCAATGTATGTAAAAACATATCAAACCACAATCAACTCAAACATGATTTTTGTTCCGATGATCAAGCGTATTCGATCTTAACAATTTATATATTAACTGTACATGATAATATATGTATTTATTATTATTATTATTTTATTTATTTAACACCCAATTTACAAAGTAAAAAGAAAAAAATAAGAAAGTTATTTCGGATGACTTTGCTTAAAAACGTTTTTTTCCAGAATTTGCTTGAAAACTTTTCTTTGCTCTTTTGCATTCCAGCACTCTATTGCATACTTCAAGTTTCGTTCAACTTCGGAAGGAATTTTACTTTTAGAAAGTGGTATTTTTACCTTCTTTTTATTTTGAATTAGGTTTTGAAAATTTAATATCTGAAGATGGCATAGTTCCTGAATATCACTAACAAACGAATGTTGAAATAACGGGTGTTGCAGTTGTGAAAAGATAATGTCTGCAGTTGTTTTGTTATTAAGAAGTCGAAGGAACAAGTTTAACTTATTTTGTTGAACACTTTTTGAAATTTCCTGGATTTTAAATAACGAACTCATATAGTTTTTACTATGTTTTGAAACATTTAAAAACGATTTTAGCGGACTCCTTCCAATTATATCTAGCTTTTTCATCAGACCAGGATTATTTTCACATAGCTCCATACCATAAGTTAAGGTGGGGACTGCCAATGATTTATATATATAGGAAATAGAACTGGGGTGAGCAAACCGAATTCCAGATTGAATAAGAGTTTGAACAACAGCTCTAAAGTTTGATATTTTTTCATCAACATTTGAATAACCGAGTGAAGCAAAAACTGAATGTTTAGTATCCCATGTGAATCCCAGATGTCTAAGTTTATTCTGAAGATTTTTTTTATTACCAGAAATTGTTATTGTATTAGTTTGTATTTGGGCTTTACCTGAGATCAAGAACTCAGTCTTTTCGGCATTCAGTTTAATACAATTTAGATTACTGTAAATATTGCATGTTTTTATAAGCTTTTTGAGACCAGATAAGGTAGAGCTTAAAAGTATTATATCATCCGCATAGGCTACCACACCAGTAAAGTTACCGTTTATAGATGTGCCAACAATACCCTGATTTTTAATAGTTTCGAGAAGACTTTCAGTGTAAATATTATAGAGGTGAGGCGAAAGAATTGATCCTTGTCTTACTCCTTGGTTTAGAGGAAAAGAGTTTGATTTACAACCTTGATATGAGACTGTTGCGCTACTATTGTTATACAACGAGGAGATAGTGTTAACTATACATAGTGGTAATTTTTTATCGAAATATAATTTTTCAAATAGGATATTCCAGTTACAGCTATCAAAAGCTTTTTCTGCATCTAAAGAACATAGATACACAGGGGAATGGTTGCTGTTGTAATGTTTAATTGTTTCGCTTATTAGAAATTCAGCATGTAGCGTTGAAGAGTTAGCATTGAATCCAAATTGTAGGGAGTGAGTATCTCTAATATCCGGACATATAATTAAGATCAGGTATTCTAGAACCTTTGTAAAAATTGGTATAATACTAATACCACAATAGTTGCTCGGGCTATCTAAAGACTTTTTGTACGATTTAACAAGGGGTACAATAGTTGACGTCGACATTGATATTGGAGTCGATCCATAATTAATGGAGTAATTAAAAAATTTGATGAGCCATTTTGTTAAAGTATCGCACTTTGCGTATTTCAAATGTTCTGCTGAGATACAAAGAAACAATGTGCGACATTGTTTTAATGTTTTAACAACGTATGTGTGCTGGCTGGGTAAAAACATCTGGCAAATTTACATTGGTCCAATGTATGTAAAAACGTCTCAAAAAGTTGATTGTTTTTACGATCTAAACCTAATGTTAATCCAATGTATATATTTCGACGTTGATTCAATGTATATAAATCAACGTTTTTCCAATGTATGTAAAAACATTGAAAAAATTTGATTGTTTTTACGATCTAAACCCAACGTTGATCTAATGTATATATATCGACATTGATTCGATGTATATAAATCAATGTCTTTCCAATGCACAGTGGGAAATCACATGGCCAATAATCAAAAAAAGTGACTTACTTCAAACATTTTGTCTGATAGTGGGTTTTGTTACTAATACCCTCACTAAGAAATTTCTAATTTATGAACTTTTAAATGTGATAGGTTCAATGGTAGTGGCTTCTTGAAGTTAGGTTTTTGATGAATTTTCGATAAAAATTCTTAAGACGCTGGTTTCTAGTAATTATTATTTTTGTAATATATAGATCATTGAGAAATTAAAAATATATACATAATTGGAAAGGTTATATTATAGAATGTTAAAAATTAAAAATTAAAAATTTCTTTAAAAAAGTTGGTACTACAATTTTTATGGTTGAAAGTATAAAAAAAATTCATTACAAAAGTGCTAAATTTTAACTTTGATGAAGAATTAAAAAATTGTTCTAATTTGTACCTTTTCCATATTTTGATATTTTTTAGTCTATAGTGTCTACTAACTACCCTGAGAAATATGCCTGCGATCATCCGCGATCTTGAGCGCAAACAAATTTTGAAAAATATAGGGGAGAGCGGGGTTGGTTGTCACGTGGGTTGGTTGTCACAAAGTTTATTACAGGAAATGTAAATAAGATATAGAAACTTCGCCTACTCAGAAATTTTTTTTTTACCAAACGAAAATTATTTTATTGTGTTTTGAATGTAGATTTATAAAGTACTTTATTCATTTGAGTAACTTAATCCGTAAAAAATTATCATGAAATTCTCACGCTTTTAGGTAAATGTACAGGTGTCCAGCAACTTACTCAGAAGGGGTTGCTTGTCACAAAATATATGGGGATTGTTGTCACACTTGCCTCGACTCCATGCGCTGCAAATTAAACGCCGCTTGCAGAATATTTAGTGGCTTTGTTTATTTTCCGCATTATTGAGGAATATTTTAATGTTTAAGATATTTTTTAAAAATCTAAAGTCAAAGTGTTATATTTGTTTAACTAAACATCTGTAATCTAAATTATTTTAATTTCAACGTGCATAACTTTAGATTCCGATCCAATGTTTAGTATAATTATAGAAAAAGGATTGCAGAAGTTCAACTGTTTATTGTTTTGTTTACAAACTAAACAACTAGCTGTTGTTTAGTTTGTAAAACTGTCTGTTGTTTTGTTTGTGCATTGTTTATATTTAGTGGGTTTATATATATATATATATATATATATATATATATATATATATATATATATATATATATATATATATATATATATATATATATATATATATATATATATATATATATATATATATATATTAATGTTTTGTTTACATTATTTGCAAATATTTTTATTTGCTTAGTAATAAACATGGTACGAAATTTTAAAAGAAAAACTAATAGAGGTTATACTTCTGGAGATGTCATAATGTGTGCTGTTACAGATGTAAAGATTAATAACATTTCTATTAGATCAGCAGCAAAAAACCATGGCATTAATTACAGAACATTAGCACGTTATTGTAAAAAAAATATTATTACTAACCCATCACATGGTTCTTTAGCAGATCTAATTAACAAAATTGAAAACCCCACCTCCCTGAATGTTATAGGATACAAAAGTTGATTGATATTGCCAGAAAAAGTAGAAAAAGAACTGGTCACCTACCTGTTGCGAGCAGCAGATATATATTTTGGTTTAACTCCTACCGAAGTAAAAAAGCTTACTTTCCAGCTAGCAATTAAAAATAATATGAACAAGCTGGTAAGGATTGGTTTACAGGATTTATAAAGCGCCATTCAAGTATTTCCATTAGGCAACCTAAAGCTACTAGTTTAAGTCGAGCGACAAGTTTCAATAAGCAGAATGTAGCATCATTTTTTAGCAATTTGCAGCACTGTATGCAAAAATACTCGTTCTCACCAAATGACATTTGGAACATGGACGAAACTGCTGTAACTACTGTACAGCAATCTAAAAAGGTTATTGCGAAAAAAGGATTAAAACAAGTAGGAGCCATCACGTCAGCTGAAAGAGGAACTCTTGTAACATTAGCATGCACAATAAATGCTATTGGAAATAGTATTCCACCCTTTTTTATTTTTCCTCGTAAAAACTTTAAAGATCATTTCCTAATCAGTGCACCAACAGGAAGTGTAGGAGATGCAAATTCAAGTGGTTGGATCCAGTTGTATCAAATAAAACCTCTAATCAGAACCCAATCACAACATTAGGTTTTAACAATTCAATCATACCACCTGAGAGTATTAGGCCTCTGCCTAAAGCAGGCACGAGGTTAGCATCAAAAAGAGGTAGGAAAAAGTGGTCAACTATGATTCTTACTAACACGCCTGTCAAAGCATGGCTTGCTAATTATAAAAAGAAGAAAACTAATAAAAAAAATTTACTAATGGAAGTAAAAAAGAATTAATAAAATCAAATCTTGCTACGAAAAAACCTTCTATAGTCTTAAATTCATCTGAAGATGAAGAGTATCTGTGCATCTATTGTTTTGAATCATTTTCCAACAGCCAATCAAGAGAACAGTGGATTCAATGTCAGGTTTGCCAAAAATGGGCTCATGAAGAATGCACACCAGGCTTACAACAGTTTATTTGTGAATTGTGTTCTTTATCCAATAATTTTTAAAAAACCAAATTTAAAAACATTTATAGTGATAAACTAAATTTGTTAATTGTGTTATATTAAAAATATATATTTCAGTTTATATTATTTTATTTTTATTTTTCTCAGTAAAACATAAACGAAATTAATTTGTACTCGTTTTACATTAAATTCTTATCGAAACTTGTCAAAATCCAAATGTGACAATCAACCCCGCACCATGTGACAACCTACCCCGTGAGCGGGGCTAGTTGTCACACAGAAGTGGTCTTTGAAAAATGATTTTACAGCAATAAATATTTCACTCAATGTCATAAAAATATTATAATAGTTACTGGAAATAGTTAAACTAGCTTTGTGCAAAGTTTGACATTGATTGGATGAAAATTTTTAACTTTCATTGGATGAAAATTTTTAATTTTAGGCTGAGCAGCCTAAAATGTAAAAAGTGTGACAACCAACCCCGCTCTCCCCTATGTTTTTTAAAAAAAATAAAAAAACTTCGAATAAAAACAATTTTTTCATTCATTTCTAAAAGTAAAAAAAA